GCAGCTTACATAATTGCATGGAATTTTGTTCATACTCAAACAGTTCACATCCACACTTACTTTATATTATGAAGTAACTGCACTACAGATAAAACCCAAAATGTTACTCCCTTCTCCACTATCATCATTCTATCTTTTCAAAACCCTTGCCAGTAGATTAAAGACAAATACCACCAGTGCAGGAAAGAGAAAGAAATAGCAAATGATCAAATCACCAAAGAATATTTGTCAATGTCTTTGTCTAACTTAGCAAGTAAATGCAAAGAAGAGGGAAATTACCTACAATGCCCATTACCCATTAAACACCCAACTCAGGCAACTAAGCTGGCCTCTTAAGAGTTCTATACTTATTGAAGAAAGAGAAGTATTTGGGAAGGCTTCACCCTGAAAAGCTGATTTGCTACAAAAAAATATTTCTCTATTTACTATGACAGGAAAAAGCTGGCTAAGCCTGGTGTCTCTGGCTCAGTGCTCAAAATTATAGCTTAATTTGTCAAGAATGGTAGAAAGAACTGACCAAACTACAAAGGTATTTGTAATTAAAGTAACAAAATACTAGCAGCTCATTTTGGAGTAAAAAGAAGTATCGGGGCTATAAAGATACATAGGATTTGTATAAATAATCAAATAAGATACCTATGAACTGAAAACTATCTTTGACATTTTACAGAGCTGTGTGGACAAGAATAACATAAAGCAGAAAGAAAAAGCAGTGGAAGGAAATTAACATTTAAAATCTTATTTTGTCTGCAGGGTCAAATTTGTAATGAAAAAATGCCTGCAAAATCATAATAATAAACACTTCTAAATTGAGAAAAAATACTACATATTAAATATATGAATTACTACAAATACTTCTAAATTGAAAAAAATACCTGTAAGTATGGTCTTAAAAATTCCCAAGCAAAGACCATAATGCAAAAGTATTTTAAATTAATGAAAAATAACTCGCAATCAGGATGAAATTTAAAATTAAAAAGTTATTATTATTATTATGGTAAAGCATGAAAAGTTCAATACTTACCATATTTTCTGGGCATTTTTCACAAGTAACAGAGAACCCACCATTACTGGAAACCATCCTGTATCCTGGCTCACATACACAGGAACTACCTGAAAAAAACAAAGCAAATGCACTTTTAATCTATATAAAACTGTTTTTTACAGAATGCTAAGAACTGCTCTTGTTCCCAAGAGATCAATATGGATTATTAGACAGACACAAAACACCTGAGATGTGGATGAAAATCATCTTGCTTTTTGAAAATGTCCATGTTACGATTCATACACAGATATTTTAGGAAAGTGTTACAAGGCTGACTGATCCACCAGGGTGCAACAGGAATCTCGAGCTTGTGTTTTGTGTGTTCTTTTTTTAAACCAAACAGATATAATATCTCAATCTAAATCTTGCCACAGTGACTTTCTCAGCCCATTCTCTCTACAACACCAGCATTATATGTTTGTATACAGTTTTGACTATTTCCACAGGAAGTCAGTCCTAAAACCAAAATATGTTTAATGTTTATATTCAAAGGTTTTTTAAAATTTAACTGTCGTATGTGAAGCTGTTTTAAATTTGCAAAGCTTTTAAAATTGTGCATGGGGATCAAAGTTCACATTGAATGGTTTTCAGTAACTAACAGAACATACCTAATATTTAGTATGAAATGAAACACTACTTTCATAGCACATCATTGTGCACATCTGCTAGTCCTCAGCAACTCTTTTTTTTAGAAACCTTTTCAGTCTATCAGACTTCTCACCATAATTTCGAACACATACTACAAACCAAAACTGATTATATGTACTAATAAACTGTATTTATTATTTCTTAAGTTTATTGAACTGTGCATGTAAAAATAATGTAAAATTCTGTGAAAAGTTTAATAGCCTTAAAGTGCATCCTCATGTGATCAGTTGCACAGAAACATTTGTCAGAGGGATGAACCACTCATAATTATAAAAAAGACCAATAGGATTATGTTGGTGAAGAGCCTTGAGTTGTGATTTCACTGTGACAATACCTAAATTTGTAGGCATATTGCTTAATGGCAGAATCCACAGTGATGAGCTATCGAGGGAGTGTATGGGCAGACTTGTACAATCGCAAGTGGAATTCAGCCATCATGCAAAGAGCAGGCTAAATGTCACCTACCTACACTGCTCCAGTCAGATGCTCCAAGAAAAAAAATAAACCCTTGACCTCCACCTGGAATTTATCTCTCCCTGAAGCCCCTGATTTGGAGGAAGATTCAGCCTAAGGGGAGTTATGGATCTAGACACCCACATTATAAGATCTGAAAATGATTACAGGGTATTTTTTTTCTGTAAGTAAACTACAGGACTACTCTTTAGGGTGCCATATTGGCGGTGAAGAGGTGACCAGCTTTTACGCAGCAGTTGTGAAAACAGCCATCCACATCACTGCTTCTCACTGAAGTACCAGCTCTGAAGAGAGATGCTGTTGGGTCTTAGTCTCAGATTTGTGCCTGTACACGACAGTGAACTCCCACTCTTATCCCCTTAAGAAAGCGACTGACTATCTGGACTTTTCATCTAGTACTGTCGAGGTGTCTTGTATTCGCTCCAAGCTCCCGTGTGGGACTCGGACCAGCACGGGCACAGCCTGAGGATCTCTACATCTCACACATTCAACCTTTGACAAGCAGTTTAAAGTTACCGAAGTGTTCAAGAACATAATTCCAGGGCTCTGTGAGATTTTACCAATGAAAACGCAAATACTCATAACCATACAAATGCCTGAGGAAAGAAAGAGTATTAAGAAAGGCTTTATTAAAAAAGGCTTTATTTAAAAAGCCGTTTCTCAGGGCTGTATCTCAGACACATCGCAGCTGTGCTGCGCCCACTTGGGTCTTTGCGGCATCGTGGTGCTTTTCGCTGAATTCAGACCCGCCTCTCTGAGAGCTACTGTTTCACCGCCACGGCCTGAGCCCCGATTTTGCGCCTCCCGCTGCTGGGAGTCGGATTCAGCGCGGAGCCGCCCGAGCCCCGATCGGGCCCGGGCCGGGCGCAGCGCCGCCTCCCCCCTCGCTCACCGCCGGCGCTCTGCCGCTGGTGGGCTCCGCAGGGCGCGCAGGCCAGGCGGGAAGCTGTCGAAGTAGCGGTCGGTGGCGCAGGCGGCAGGCGCTGGAGCGGGACGGAAAAGGCGCGGGCGGGAGCAGCGCCACCGACACCGCCACGAGCAGCGCGGCGGCGGCGGCACCGCGGCCCCCCGCTGCCATGGCCACCGCGCGCGCCACCGCTACGGCGAGCGCCGCGGGCCAGCCGCCGCAGTACGCGAAGCGTCCGCAGGGTGGGCGGGAAGGGAGTGGTACAAACCCGGGATTAGGGTGTGGGCTGCACAGGGGTTTGTTTGGCCTGTGGGAGATTAGGAGGACGACACAAGAGCACGGTGAACCCCGGATTACGCTTTCCTGTACCTCGTCTCTAGAACAGTGTATCATACTAATGTAACACTTGTTTGTAACTTCCCCCCTGTGAGAGGAAACTGGTAACAAGGTGAAAACACAAAATGCCTAGAGGAATGGATACACAGCCGAAGTAACTCCCCTTTACCTCTTTCACCTTTGTCAGGACGTTCTTGTTCCCATTCCACAGAATGACAGAATGGGTCAGGTTGGAAGGGACCACAGTGGGTCATTTGGTACAACCTCTCTGCTCAGACAGGATCATCCCAGAGCACATGGCACAGGATTGTGCCCAAACAGTTCTTGAATATCTCCAGCGAGGAAGACTCCACAACCTCTCTGGACAATCCGTTCCAGTGCATGGTCACCCACACAGTAAACAAGTTTTTCCTCATATTCAGGTGGAACTTCCTGTGCAACAGTTTCTGCCCATTGCTGCTTGTCCCATTCCTTCAAATGTTACCAAAACTTTGCAGGGTACTTTATGCCTTGGGTATTAATTATTCCTTGTTGCCCCTGTCCTGCAAGCTAATTGCCTAACTATTACAATTCTCTATATTAGCATTGCTTGGAAGCCTATATGCTTATTGCACCAAATGCTTTATTCCTCACTGGATTTCTTGTGCTGGCTCAACAAGGCTTTAAAAACTTGAGTTACTGATATCTTCAAGTCGAATTATCTGTCCCCAGGCTGAAGTTCATGTAAATTTTACTATCTAAAAGATTTTAGTTTTTACCCCTTGGTGTGCTTGATTTGTGGAAACCTCCACCTTGCATCCTGCGCAGGATAAGCAATGTCTCCTTTCTAAACTATATTGTGTGTGTTTAGAGAGCTCCTAAAATCGGCAGCATTACTAGATGAATCTACCAAAAATAACATGGTTTTTTTATTATTTGTCTATGTAAAATGGAGCAGACAAGTGCTGAATAAGCATAGAAATACAGAGGAGAATACATAAAGGCAGGTGGAATAAACACTAGGATAAAATAACTACCTCACCTGCCCAACAGTCCTGCCTCTGCCCTTCCCTTTACACAGCCTTTCCTCCTCCTCTGCCATTCCCCCATCCCTGCCTGCCTTTCCTTCCAAAACCCAGACTTAAGCCAGCCCGAGCTGGGTTAGAAGTTACTGGCAGAGCAGCGGTGAGCGCAAACCCGCTCCCGAGTTCTGAGGCTGGGAAGATGCGGCACTAGCGGGTATGAGCCTGAGCACAGCGCACAACACAGCCGAGTCCCGCAGCCCGCCGTGTGACCGATCTCTATATACCGATCTGGCACTGTACAGCTCTATCATTCCACAGTTTGGTCATTATACAGCTCTATTTAAACGGGACCACAGGGCCGCCCCCGGGCCACAAGGCGCATGCGCACTACCTGCGGCGCGCGCGGGCATCACGGTGAATGGGGGCGCGTGGGCGGCGCACGCGCAGCAGAGGCGGGAGGGGGCGGGGTCACGGGCAGCGGCGTTTCCCGCCCCGCCCAAGGGTGCGCGCGCAGCCCCGCGCTCGCGGCGCGGGCAGGGCTCGCGGCCCGGAAGCGCTCGCGCGCGCAGCCGCTCCTCGGTGTGGGGGGGCAGCGGCGGCGGCGCCATCTTGGCGGAGCCGTGCGGGAGCTGCGGAGTCCGTCCGAGCGCCAGTCCGGTGGGTGCGTGGATGGATGGCGTGAGGGACAGCGCCCGCCTCTCCGGGTGCGGCATGTATCTGAGGGCGGCTCGGGGTTTGCGCCGGGAGCCGGTTCTCGGGAGTTCGACTCTCGCGGAACCGCTGCGCGCCCGCTGCCCGGGCCGCGGCCTCCTCGTGCCGCCGGCTTTTCCCACCCCCTTTCCCGCTCCTGGTGACTCCCTCAGCCCTGTCCGGTGCCGAGAGGCGGCCGGGCTTCTCCGTGACGGCGGAGCACGACCAGCTCTGTTGGGCCCGGAGCGCGTGTGGCGCAGGGCGGCCTCCCTCGGCCCGTCCCCCTCGCCGTGCCCCGTCCTGCCGCCCGCGGCCCCGCGCTCCGGGCCCGGCCGGGTCCTGCGGCGGCGGCGGCGCTCGGAGTGAGCGGTGCTCCCAGCCGGCCCAGCTACAGAGCTCAGTTGCGTCTTCCTCCAGCGATGTGCAAAGTGCCATTAGCTGCAGCCTGCTTCCACTGTTTAGGCTTATTTTGAAGAACAGAATAAGAAATCTTCCTCTGATCTACCGGTTATTTTTACACTGGTCCAGTTTATAGTCAGAGTGTTTCTGCGTATGTTGTTTCTAGCTTGCATACAGATAATGTAATCTCTGAACGTTGTGGTTAAAATACTGGTCTAGTGCAGGCTTAGTTTCCCACAGTGTTTACAAGTTGTGGGTTTATTTTAATGGCTTTAATGGTATTTGAAATTTCTCGAGGCTGTGGAAGAATAGGTATAGTAGTGTTTTCTGGTCAGCTTTGTTTAAATATAAAATTTCATAAAACTGTGTTTGCTTCTGTGCTTTTAAATTGGTGGCATGAAGTTGTCAATCTGTTCTCCAAATCCTTGCTCTCTGAGTCTCTGCTGAGTTAATGAATTGGTCTTACTTTTCATGACAAATCATTGCTTTTGGTCATTCACTTTAAATTGTTGGATGGCTTGTCTGTACTTTCTACCCACGCTTGATTGTTTAATATCCAGTCAGTAAGAACTTATTATTTGAACTTGCATTTTTGTTTGTGGACTTCTTAGAGATCACATGATCTGGAATCACTGTGTCTAGTTTTCACCGCTGAAGGTTGTGTGTTGTGTCCCTGGTGCATCGTGGAGAACTTGCTCTTTATCACCAAAGAAATACGGAGGAGAGCTGTTGTGAATGATGTTTAAAAATTGGGATAAGAATGTGGAGTTGTGAAATCCAGGAGTACTACAGATTAAATACATCATGACGTAGCAGGGCAATGGATTTGGTTTTTCAAGACACGACGGTGCTGTATGAAAATTCTGCCCTTGAATTCTCCATGCTTTTTGGCACTGCCGTTGCATCTGTTGAGAAGAGACGTAAAGTTCTGGGTCTGGCTGGGACGGAGTTAATGTTCTTCACAACAGCCCATACAGTTCAGTGTTTTGGATTTGTGGCTGAAAGAATGTTGACAACGCATCAGTGTTTTGGGCTGTGGCTGAACAGTACTTGCAGAGTGTCAAGGCTTTATCTCTTTTCCCTACTCTGCCACTCCAGCGAGTGTGCTGAGTATAGGCGAGAAGCTGAGAGGGGACATGGCTGGGACAGCTGACCCAAACTCACCAAAGAGATATTCCGTGCCATGTAATGTCATGCTCAGCAACAAAAACTGAGGTAGAGGAAGAAATATTTTGATGGTTTTGGTTGCCTGAGGGGATTTTTTCTTGGCTCCCAAGGCAGTTGTTATTTGAAGGTAGGCTGGACATCAGTCAGCCTGTAGGAGGTAATGAGTGATTTTCTTTGTTTTGCATTTTTCTCCTCACTGATGACACTTGACCCACAAGTTCTCTTGACTTTGTTCTTCTATTTTCTTTCCCGTCCTGCTGATGGGGACAAGGAGTGCACAATTGGCTGTGTGGGTGCTTGGCTGCTGGCTGGAGTCGACTTGCCACAAAAGTACAGAGAACAGATGGTCTTTAGAGAAGTTACTAAATAGGCAGTTGTTTTCTGTTGTGCTTGCAAAGTGGTGATGTAGAAGTGACATAAAACCCATTAGTTAGAGAATTTGGACTTTGTTCTTGTTTTGCTGAGTTCAGTTGGAGTGACAGTTACAGTTATTGATAGACGACTTGTCACCAGGATCTGGTGCTTTGAGCAAGGGTGTTGGTTTGTAGGAGGGATTTGTCAAATGCTTGGAGTGTTGGGCTGTTGTGTTTGTTCTAAAGGGATATGGTAATTTGCTACAGAAGCTTGTGTTTGTTCTCAGAGTACTGTGCTATTTATTTGTGATGTTAGATAATGTTGAAAACCAGGGTATGTTTAAGTCAGCGTAGTAGAGCATTTCTCGTTCTTATGTGTGAACAGCAGTGCAGTACAGTAAAGATACAGGGAAAATACTGAAGCTGGCTTTGTAAATTCAGGTACTTTCCAAAGTTTGTCCTTGTTGGATATTTTGCTCTTTCATTTGATGGTCTTCACTGTGTACATTAAGTGTAGTGCTGGACTGGTGAGTAGCATACTCTTGTGAACCTTGAAACCGGGTGGATCTCAGAAGAATGGACACGTCCTTTAATCATGAGATGGACTTAAGGATCCTTCAAGGACTCAGTTGAGAGTTGTTCCCTCGATACACTGGCAGTCTGTTTCACTGCAACAGTTCAGTGTGGCACAACCAATGACCAAGTAATCTCATCGTATTTTCATCGTTTCCAGAAGTCAACTTAAATTTTGAATTTCTTTTGCTTCTGAAATGGAAACACAAAGATGCAGTGCATAGCATCTTGGAACGTGGAAGGAGTTCTTCACATGGGTTCATAACATGTTTGGCTTTAGTGTAACCACTGCTATGGATGAGCTGCAGCAGTGTAGCGCAGTATGTAAAGCAAAGTACAGGTATCAGCCATTAATTATGTTTCATTTTCTTTCCACAGTTAAGTTGATTTTACAGAATTTATCAGGTCTCCAAAGCAGAAACAGGTAAGCTGCCAAAAGCTTAACACTTCTCAGTGAGTATTGTGACAAGATCATACACAGCCTTTTTTCCTCACGTACTTGTGGCTGGGAACTAGGATATGCTCTCCTGAGTGCTCGTGGCTGCTGCAGTTAATACTCTGACTACGTCAAAGAGACAACTTCTTTGAATGCTGAGAAAACATACATTACTGAACAGAACTGATCACTGGGTAGAGCAACTTGTCAAAGCAGTAAAGGCATCACTGTTTGTGAATTATGTCATTTTCAATGACATAGTTATTCTTTTTCCTTTCTCCTTTTATCAACTAGTGTCCTGTTCAAAAGGAAACAGGATTTTTTTGTTCCTTAGGACTGGGCAGAGATCTCTGGCATACAGTCACTATGCCATGAAAGACTTGATGTGTTCTTTAGGTATTGTGGATGGTGAGGAATGACTTAGGTGGATTTTGTTGCCCTTAGGATAGGGAATATTGATAGATTTGTGCACGTGTGCTGGTGGAGTAGCTGATTGTTCTGACTAATCAGCATTCAGTGAACTGTGTTTTAATCTTGTTCTTGTGAACTTGTGGGTGTTTTGATACCTTCTCTCTCGATTGAGACAAGGGCATTCATTAAAACGGCTCTAGCTTCTTAAATGATAAGATACTGTAATAGCTGAGTACTAAAGACGTGCTATCATGTGTACCTTTTTGTCTGCAGGTGATTTTTGCTGTGGGTTGAGCTCAGCATGGCTGTAGTCATCCGTTTACAGGGGCTTCCTGTTGTTGCGGGTCCTCCAGATATTCGTCGTTTCTTCTTGGGATTGAATATTCCTGATGGAGGTGTGCATATTATTGGAGGAGAGCTTGGGGAGGCTTTTATTATATTTGCAACAGATGAAGATGCACGGCGTGCCATGAGCTGTTCAGGAGGGTTTATCAAGGACTCACGCGTAGAGCTCTTTCTCAGCAGCAAGGCAGAAATGCAGAATACCATAGAAATGAGCCGGAAACGATTTGACCGTGGGGGACGAGAAACTATGTCTAGCTCTAGAAGAACAGGTGCTAATGGTTCTGGTGCATCAAGTGTTGGAGACATGCCACATTTAGTCACAGCTTCTCCAAAAGGAATAAGAAAACCTAGTTACGGGCCACCAAATCGCCTAGAGGCTGGTTTCCATACCAATGGCACAAGACACGGTGATATGGGTGTACCTAAGTCAAATTATCAGTTAAGAAAGGATTCTCACCCATTTAACCCAGATGACTGTTACTTATTTCTACGTGGTATACCTTACGCTGCAACAGAAGTGGAAGTACGTGCTTTCCTTTCTGGGATACGTGTGGATGGAGTGATTCTGATAAAGCACCGCAATGGTTTAAACAATGGTGATTGCTTGGTAAAATGTGCTACACCTGGTGATGCCTTGGAAGGACTTAAACGTCACAGACAGTACATGGGTCAGAGGTTTATAGAAATTAGTCCAACTACGGAGGAACGGTGGATTGAATGTGGTGGGACGGTGGATGTGCCAGATGAAATGGATCACTTTTTCTGTGAAGACCTTTCTCCAAAAAGTTCAGGCTACATGCATTCAAGGAGGCATTCTCGTTCAAGATCACCAAGGAGACAAAGAACGCGTTCTCGTTCATCTCCCAGCCAGGAATATTACATACACTTAAGAAATCTATCTTTTAATGTGGAGAAGAGAGATTTGAGAGATTTTTTCCCTGATCTGGATATATCCAGCAAACAGATCAAGATTCTAACAGATAAGCATCAGAAAAGGACTAGAGATGCCTTTGTGATGTTAAGGAGTGAGAGAGAATACCAGGCTGCTTTGGAATGTCATAGAAAGGTTCTTCTCAATCGTCCTGTTTACATTTTTCCAATTTCAAGAAAGTCAATGTTGAAAATAATCGATTCTTGTGAGAGAAAAAGATCACTAGACAGAGATCATCCTGGACAGGCTATATCAGAAAAAAGTTACCGGGAAGGTCATTCCAGCCCTAAGATATGTGTTTATGTCAGGAATTTTCCATTTGATGTGTCAAAAATTGAAGTGCAAAAGTTCTTTGCAAGATTTGATATTGATGAAGATGATATTTATTTACTCTATGATGAAAAAGGACTTGGACTGGGAGAAGCACTAGTGAAGTTTAAATCTGAAGAACAAGCCATGAAAGCTGAAAATTTAAATCGTCAAACATTTTTGGGAACAGAGGTATTAATAAGACTTATATCTGAAGAGCAGATGCAGAAGTTTGGTGTATCTGTACCATTATCTGAACCGAATCAAGTGCGTGGTTATTCACATCCATATGACAGAGGTGAGCTTTCCCGTCCAGTCAGTTCACCATCTGGGCCACCACAAGGGCCACCCATGCATTCATTTGGTCCCCCCGGGAACTTTAGGCATCATTCTGAATTTAGACACCCCCCTGAGGACTTCATGGGCCCTCCTAAGGATTTTAGAGGTCCACCACCCCTCATGGATTTCGGTGGTGACAGTGAACCTTTTGGCAGAATGGAGTTTGGGAATAATAAAATGGGAAATTTTCCTGAAGGAAGATTTATGCCGGATCCGAATTTCAGTGGTGGTTCTGAACGTGTTGTTCCTATTCTGTTGAAAAATTTACCTTTTAAAGCTACTCCTAATGAGATTCTGGATTTTTTCTATGGCTACAGAGTGATTCCTGAGTCAGTTTCTGTGCAGTACAATGAACAAGGATTACCTTCTGGTGATGCCATTGTTGCTATGACAAACTATGAGGAAGCTATGGCTGCTATTAATGAACTGAATGATAGGCCGATTGGTCCACGGAAAGTTAAGTTGAGCTTGCTGTAGAGGAGGAAAAGATGCTCTATAGTAAAACATTCTCGGTTTGACAGTATTGACAGTTATTTTAACTTTTTCTAATTCCTGGAACATCCAAAAGAAACAGTTTCCATCAACGGTTGTAAATAATACCCAGTTCAGTTGTTTAGCTCTTGGTTGAAATGTTTGTAGGACACTGGAAGTCACACATTGAGGTCTAAAGGGATGGAGTTGTAATGCTTTGGGGGTTTTTTTAGTTTGTTTTAATTCCATGTCCTCTGTCTTTGCATCAAATAAAAATATAAAGGCTGGTTGACTGACCACACAAATGGTTCAAATAGAAGATTTTCAGTGCTACCTGCATTAGTAAATAACATTTCTTACTGAGGTTAGCTTAAAATTTAAAAGAATGATTTTTATTTTTTGGGTTTTGTTTTTGTGTAAACTTCAGGTTTTATTCGGTTTCATGTGTTTGCAGGCGTTTCTGTTAAAAAAAGAAAAAAGAGCTTCCTGTTCACATTAGCTGGCTTTGCAATTTTTTTTTAATAAAAAGGAAATTGCCATTTAAATGTGTGTCTTCTATTTAAAACTTGGATAGTTAATGGTTTCAACTATTATGCTCAGCAGATGTGGGTCTTGGTGAGAATGATGCTGGCTACTTCCTCTGGGAAGAGTGAACTGTTACAGTTTGTCAACACAGTGAAGAAAAGGTAGTTAGTTTACAGAGTCTGTATTAAAGAGTTGGACAGGTTTTCTTCTCACTCACTGTAGTAACTTGAGGCAGAAAATGAATGTTGAAATCAGATCAAGAATTCTGATTCAGTGGTCTTCATTTTATCTCCACATGCTGCATAATGTGAATACTTGCTTGCTGATGATGTTTGGATACACTCCAGGTCAATCTCTGATTGGTTTTAACTAACATCTGTCATGGTAACCAAGCTGACAACCAACTATGTTATTTTCTTTTGTAATAAAATGAATGCTTATGTCAGCATTTAGAACATGTTGGTTAGATTGGTTTGGTTACCACCATATTTAAATTTTTGGAAGAAATAAAAGCTAGCCTGGAAAAGCTGCATGTTCAAAATTCAGGCTTAGTTGGAAACTTTGGTTGTGTAGGTAAAGACTTTTGTTCACATTGCAACTGTACAAGATAGTATTTGGAGTACTAAAGAATTTCATGAATTTTAGTCCCCTCAGACTAGGACAGCAAAGTTGCAACTTGGCAGTGAAAACTTTTAACCTTTGCTTGGGCAATACAAATAATCATAAATTCATGGAGTAGGGAGGTCTCTAGTCCAACCCCTTCCTCAAAGCAGTGTCCGCTAGAACAGGTTACTCAAGGCCTTCAGTATGTAATAGCTCTAGGAACGGAGCTCTCTGGGCAGCCTGTGGTTGATCCCCCTCACTGGTGGGTCAAATTTTAACTGCTTTATTTATGTAAAGTCATCATCGTAATTGCTAAACTTGCAAATAAACTGTTAAGTACAAGCAAACAAAATCAAGAGAATTTTTTGCTCTGTAATTTTTAAAAGGTTAGTGTAGCTTTATTTCCTCTGCATATCATTCTCTGTTTTAAGTGCCCAGAAAAAAGCATTTTGAATGAAAATGCAAGGTCTGTGTATGTAGCAAAAACCAAAAAAATGTGGCTAAGTTTAAATTCTGAACACTTAATATTCAGTTTTTTGCTGTCTGGTAGGAATTAGCTTCAGAATCATATGGCTTTGAATCCTGTAAATTTAAAGGGCATTAAAATAAAACCCACAAAGTTGTGCTTTTATTTCATAGCTACTATGAAAGAGATCAAGGAGCCAGAAGACTTTGCAGGTAAAAGACACGAGAATCCTCAAAATGAACTTCCCTGACATTATCATTATGTTGAAAACTTCATTGTGATTATTTTTGTAAGCCAGTGTCTTTACTACTAAGCTGTGTTGTAAATATGAATGCAAGTAACTTCTCCAGTTAGTCAGCTTTAGATCATTTGCTGGTTTTAAAGTTCTTCCAGCTACTATACAACAGGATATTTCAAACTTGGAGGCCAGAAAGACAGAAGAGTTTAGTAGGTTTTTTTGCCAGTAAAGCATGAGAATGTCTTTTAGAAATAACACCTGTTCTCAAAGAATTTAAGAGTAATTACTGATAAAATACCATTAATTTTTGGGATGGTAAACTCTCCCCCCCCTTAGTGAACATATAAAAAAGAATCATAAAGCTTGTAATGGCAGAGGTCATAATCAAGGCATTTCAAAATGGTTTTCTGTTTGCTCTATAGCTAATTTGTATTTAATTTAAAGCCAGATTAGAGTTTATGACTAGTTTATCTGAAATGTTTGATTGACAGGCCAAAGAAATAATTATTTTTTCAAGGTCTATAAATACAAAAACTGTACTTCAAAGTATGTACAGATGAACTTGAAGCATAGGGAAATTGGGAAGGGATGCCAGTGTATCAGTGAAATAATAAGGTTACTAGGATAGTTGATTCTTAGTTTATAGGTGTTATCTGATTGGTGCTTTGGCTCTGTTTGTCTGTCCTTCTCTGTTCCCCTTCTCCTCCACTGAGATGTGTATATATAGGCATTATATTCTGATTCTGCCTGAATAGGTGGTAGAGGTGCATGGTGTGGTGGCAGCATTTCCTGATAATAGGGTTATATAACTTTAGATGTTTAGTGGCTTGAAGGCACTGTACTTTTGGTACAATGGACAAATCAGAAGCCATCTTATAATTACATGGCTTGAAATACTGTTCTTTCTTTTTAAGTACCATCCACATAGTAAAAGCATAAAAAATGAAATGCTGCAGTTTGTGACGTTGATAAAACACAGCAAGTTTCTTTAGTTATGTCTTCTCTGAAGTTGCTTTTGCTACCATTGTCCAAAAATTCTGGTGTAAAGGAGAACAGTCTCTATCGTCAAGAACTAGAAATAGTGATCACCTACCAAAGCACCTTGAGGCATTCAGGGAAGCTGTAACAGCACAGTCTGGTTAGTACAAGAAGATAACCCTTAATCCCAAAAGAAATGTGCCAGCATTTTCAACAGAGTGGCAAAATATTCTTAGCAAGATTGATACAAGCCTGCATCATCTAGGTGTTAGTAGTCAAAAATACATGTGAGTGAGAAATGTCAGTCTTGCAGCAAGCACTTATGCCACAAGAAAAATCTTTGCAGAAGTATCTTTTAATTCTGTAATTACATTCTAAATTATTCTTCTGGTTCTAAAGTATTTTAATCAGGGACTTTTCATCTGTAGTTTCAAGGTCACACAAGTGCTGTGCAACGTGCAAACCTAAGACATCATACATGCAGGACAAAGTTGCCCAACACTCTGTTCTCTCCTGTTCTGGAGGTTTTCCTGTAATTCCTGAAGTTGACTTTTTTGTGAGGTAGTGAGAAGGAATTTGAAGCTGCTCAGGAACACAAACCCCTCATTCTTACCCTAGCTACTAATGTTTTAGGGGGGAATTAATGAAACATGGCTGCCTTTTTTCAGCATTCCTTTCTCAAGGCATAGTACACAATCACTGTTTGCATGTGTGTATATGATATGAAAGCCTAGTATTGTTATGAAGTTGGCCATCTGTTTTGGAGATGGACTACTTCATTGAGTATGAAGTGGTAAAGTGGTGACCATAATTCTGATGTTGTGATACAAATATTTATTGAAGTGCCTTAGTTGCTGAAATAGATGGGAATTGGTTACCTAGATAGTTTTAAAGTTGGCTCATTTGTATTTACTCTTTGTCAACAGTTGTACAATGTCAATAGTATGTAATTCTGGTGTAAAATTATTTTCTGGGTTTAAAACAGAACCCTTTATTGTGACATTTTCACTTATATTTCCATCACATTAATTTTGGCAAAAGTTGTTTTTTCACATCAGAATAGGTATGCATCAATACTATAAATGCACTTTTTGGTTTATTTCCATAACTTGAAATTTTTTTCCTAGTGACAAGTTTAAATTCTATATTTATGCATGCGTTCGCTCTTTAACTAGAGCTGGAGATGAACAGTGTGGTAGTGGCTTTCTGGCAGACAACTGTACACTGTTAAAAAATGAACGTGTGTATCACCATCTCCAAACAGAATAAGAAATTACACTCAAAATGTGTAATTTCTTGTATGTTTGATGGAATCAGTAACTGAATCATGTAGTTAAGCACATGAAATTTGAACTCTATAGCATATCAACTAATATAATAAACATCAACTACATAAAATATCCACTAGTTTTATCATGAAGGCACTTTATTTAAAAGCAAAGCAGCAATAAACGTAGATACTGGGCTCAGTCCTTATTTGTGAGCATTGATTCTCTATGTGTAAAGGAATCAAGTCATCTTAGCCTGAGGAAAGCCTGAGGAAAATGAAAACAAGAAAACAATACACCTCACCCTGCCTTCTGCCATCCAAGGTGCGTAACAAAGTGAAAACATGTTGTTGCTGCAAACAGTTTTTTGATTACTACAGTTCATTTAGGATATATAAACCCAGTCATGACAGGTACAGCTAGAGGACTTACTAAATGGAAGAGGTGTTTAGCTAGAGAATAAGGTAATATATTGGCAAAGTTACAAGCAAACCCTTATGTTCATAACTGCTTGTCAGCTTAGTGCAGTTTTTGGACACTGTTCATGAAAGTTTAAGCAAATATGACTGCAATACAATATTTATGCAAATATAATACAGGATTCTATTTAAATATTTCATTTTCTAGCTACTGAAATTGTCCATTTTCAGCAGATTTTGTTCCGTTCTTTGAAACTGGTCATTTGTTGTCCGGCACTCTAGAATTAGTGCTTGTTCCTGTTAGAATTTTAAATGTACAGCCTCAGTGAAATTTTTGATCAACACACAAAAGCCTTTAGGTAAAGGGATTTTTTTCCCCCTTAATAAAAACCCTCTCTTAGAATAGCTTTGTTATCTCACTTCCTTAGTAGCATCAAATTCTTCCTCCTCATCCTCATCTTCCTCATCCTCATCTTCCTCCTCTTCTTCTTCATCTCTTCTTAACATACTGCGGGAAATCTGCCAAAACAAAAATCTAGCAGAAGTAAATCAAGTGTTTTTTCTCCTCAAAGAAAAACAATTATCTGTTGGCATTTCCAGTCTAAATATTTATAGTTTCTTGTTTGGAGGAGTGCATAAGTTGTTTGTCCCTTAACCCTGCATAATGTGCAAGCCAATGAAAAGATACATGGCACAGAATAAAAATACTGTAATGATTTTTAAAAGCTTAAAAAATCCCCATAGTCATGACAACTATTATAGGATTGGGAAAACTATACTTTGATCCAATTAATGCTAAAAATCAACAAGATGTTTGTTCCTGGGTTGGCTGTTGAGACAGCAGGCTGAAGATGAGTATTAGGGCCTAATCTTATCTTGAAGACATCAGACCTCCAGTTAAAAGTTCAAAACTATGCTGCTCTAGGAGTTTTTTTTGAGAATGAATTAGACAAACTATTAAAAGTCTTCATTCACAGATGAACAACTTTCCCTGCCCATCAGTGCTTGCCCTTCAGAATGACATTAGTCTCCTTTCTTTGGTTCATCAAACATTAAAAACAAGTGGCAGCTGCCAAGCTTTCATCTCATCTGACAGATTCTGCAATCTGTACTTTTTTCTAATGAGGGTTCAATCTAATTCCTATTGAAGATAGATTCTTCACAGACAATGCAACATTTACAATTTCATGTAGGATATATGGTGTTCTTTTTCTTTCCTCATGAGAAAGAGAACATTAGTTATCCAAGTCATCTGGAATGCTTTTGAAAAATGATTTCAGGTTCAGCAGTTCTTTAAGAGCATCTGCAGTTCTAATTTTGGTTATATTTTCTGTGTTTTCTCACGTACAGTGATATAATAAAACTTCTGTATTGAAGACAGAACATGCCTTTTTTTTAAACAGCCCCTTATTTTAAAAGTCCTTAAATGCTCATTATTAAATTGACTTCTGAGATGTTATAATTTATACAGCCATGTATGTAACAAGATTTTTGTGTGTGCATAAAGCAAACTGCAGTCATTGAACTAATGAAGCAAAAAAATCTTTAGTCTTGTTGATGCTCAAAAAGTACATAATTTAGCTTCAAGCAAATGGTTACAAATTCCTGAATGTAATAGAAAATGCAGTTAATCATTGGATGAAGCTGGGTTAACTTGAGCTGAAATGCCTAAAACAGCAATCTCTCATTCTGTGAAAGAAAAAAAAAGACAATGGCACTGATTTGTAATTAGTGATGAAGGAATGCTGCAGATTGACCTTGTTAAGGTAGTGTCATTTCAATGGGATAGACTAATTTTCCTGGTTTTTTTCTAGTTAAGAGTATCTCAAATTCTTAAACGGAACTTGCGTCACATTTCTGAAGAACAGTTCCCCCTTCCCCTTCCTGAAATAAGAGGTGTTGGTTTTGGCTTTATGGCGTTTTTGTGCTCACTACTCAAATACCTCTGACTGTGCTGTAATTAACTAAATAGTACGTTAAATATTATCACTGATAGTGGTAAGGGAATTAGGCAGTTTAAATCCACATTATTGTGCCACAGAGCTAGAACATACCGGTACTTGAAAATTTAATTTTTGATTACTTCATGTTGAAAAAATTTAAAATAATAATAATAAAAAATGTGATAGTTTGTTGCTCATAAATAATTTTATGTGAAGATTAATTCTATGAGTTTGCATGTAGGCGTGATGACTGTTCTTGCTTAAGCTGTTCAGTTCCGTGTTTCACTGCAGGTGTTACTAGAGAAAGCATGGTAATCCTCTCCTCATGTCTTGGGCAGTGGGCAGTTTTGGAGCATTCAGATGCAGACATTTTCAATAACTGTTAGAATGATACTTTGCTGTCCTAGAGAGTCAGTGCAAAACAGTTTGTTATATTAAGTGCATGTAGATAAAACTTACATAGTTAAGTTTGATTTAAAATATCTAGAAAATGTCATTTTCTTCTGCTATATTCTAAAAGTACAGCATATACCAACTTGAATCAGTAAAACAAAATGATAGGCTAAATTGCCAAGTGAAGTGCAAAATGAAGGTGGTAGCTCTTTGTGAAACAATGTATCAAGCTCAAGGACTACTTTAGATTTTTAACATACAAATAATACAGAAAGTTAGTCCACAGAACCAGAAATAAATTCAAGAATGGTATGCCTTAAATCTTCTGAAAGACCTGAACTGTATTAGTGGCACAGTTTATCCCATCTGGTGTGCAGTGACTTCCCCCACGTCCCCCACCTACGGGTTAGTGTTGGCATGTATGTGTCTGTCTGTCCTCCCCCACCTCACAGCCCTAGGCACAGTGATTCTGTGAACTGCTTACCATATCGTTTGTACTGCTTTGCACTGGAAATTGTCAAGTGCTGCCTTACAGTTAGTAAGGGATTACTATGTAGCAGGAAACTAGACTTGTGAAAAATCTGGGAGTGAAAGATCCCCAGAAAAGAGAAAACAAGTCACCTGAAGGTTTTTCTGAATACAGCTTTTTTTTTCTCTCATGAGATGTTTGGTGGGTTCCAGAGATTAGAGCCCTTAGTGTAACTCAACAACACGCTGTTTGCAGAATCAGAAAGGGCACATGGGGAGTGAATGGAACAGGCTGCCTGCCCCTTCTTCACTGCCCTATAGTGACTGCATTAGTAGGATGTTCCACTGCTTTTTTTCTGCCATATGATCCTCTGCAGATACACTGCACAGCCAAGTAAGACAACATTATTTTGAAATGTATTGCAGTTTCCCTCTAGGTCTAGATGACTTCCTGTTCTTTTCAGATATTCCAGTGAGATGTTATGAGAACATTAACATCTGAAGTTATAACTAAGAGAGAGGTCTAGGTAAACTTGCAAGTTAGTCAAAATGGAGTTCCACTCCATCTCTGGGAGAAATCAGTGTACATATATTCAGTTTCCTGTTGCTTTGGGTTTTTTTTTCTCTCTCACATTTTCTAAAGTAGCTTGAACATGAAATTTGCTTATTTGATAGAGAAGACTGGTGGGTTACTCTGAGTCCAGGTTGTATTTCATGCACTGAATCACTGGGTTCTTTTATCTTTTCAGATGACTTAACTCACTTTCAACAGAATAGCTCAACTGTAATAACTGATCCTTTCTGTGTTGCGAAGGTGTAAAATGTGTATGTAATCAAGATAACTTTTCCTTATTACAGTATCAATGCATGATTTGAAAGAAGAAAAGTAAGACATGTACATTTTAAATGTGTCTATCTTTGTCTTAGCTGAAACACTGGTAAGAATCATCATAGTTACAGGATTATGGCTGCAATAAAGAAAAAATAATTTAGCCATTTTGCAATGTCTGCAAGTTTACTGATGCAAACAAGTGCCAAAGACTATTGCAAGGTAGCTGATCCAAAACCAGTGGCACTGTTTCCATTTGTTTCACTCATTTTTATCATCCTCCTTTTCCTCACCTCCTCTGAATTTTCAGATTATATAGGGAAAAGTTTGTTGGTCATGGGTTTGCTCTGCTGCTACAAGATATCACTAATCTGAGTTAGGATCTGGTAGAGAAGTCACACTCTAGAATCTGATACTGAGACTAATAATATGCAAGTGTTATTTAAAGAATGTCACTTCTCTTTCAAATAAGCTCCTAGATGTTTTCTCTGTGAGATGCCATAGTTTGTTGATGGAAGAAATAGCATTGCTGGAAATGGCATTTTTCAAAAGTAAGCAACACAGCTTTAAAAGCTGAATTTTTTTTCTCTCAAATGATAAAGCTGCATTATTAAGAGCTTAATATGATATTTATGCCCTTGGAATTTTCTTTACCTTTCTGACTGTCATGAACTGAGTGAAGATAGTGGATCCATGTAGACTAGCTAAAATACTATCTTAAGTAGAGCTTTAATACAGTGATTTTTATCATGCAATTGTAATTTTTCTTTCTTACCTGTACTGTCCTCAATGAAGATTTTGAGGAGGCAGTTCTTTGCAGGGGGGACTTGGAATTTGCACGAACTATGTCTAGGCGAGACTGATAGTCCGATGGATAAAGTGAGCTCCGAAAAACCTGTTGAAATGGAGAAAGCTGTGACTCAGGTACCATGATACAGGTTGCAAGCTAAGAATCACCTATACTGAAGCTAGCAGAAATGCAGCACTGGTCAATGAAACCTGATCTAAAGATATGCATCAGCTGTAGTCTGGATTGATCACTTTTGGCTGAAACAACATCGTTTCTCAACCTGAGACACATCAACATACTTATGTGGTCAAAGTAAACATTCTTCAGAGACTTGAGGGCATTTACACATGGAAAACTTGCAAGAGTTTCTCACCAAGGTATGTAGCTGAGTTTCAGGCTAACCTAGAGGTATGAACCCCAGCAACTGCCTTCAGGTTCTCCATTTCTCAGAAAGATGAACTCTTAGCCCCTTCACAAGGAATTCCTTGCTGACAGTCACAGACACATCAGAAAAATTTTACTTGAAATGTTCAGGAGACGAACAGCTTGAGAAAAATTTGGGAAACCTCTTAGAATACAGAGGAGACTGTAACATCCATGATATTTGCAAGTTATTTCCAATAAAGCTATTCATGCAAGACTTTATTAAAGTCAAGGAAATGGCAGATTACGGTCAGTATTTTTATGGGAAGTAAATAATTGTCCAATTAACAGGAAATTTAAAATGAGATTAGAAATTTGGTTGTGAAAGACAAAGTATTGACTTAAAGGATTTTTCTGAATTGGTGCCACATGACATTTTAATCGTGAAACTACAATAGTACAAGATTGCCGTGGCATAGTTTAAATGAAGCAAAATTACCAAGTAGTCTCAAATGTGATTGCCACTGAAGAATCATGATTTTTTGTGTCTTGCACTAACTGAATACTTGATCCTGAGCTGTGTCATGAACAAAATAAAATCAGGACTTGTAGGATTTACAGAAGAAGACTGAAAATGATCCAACTTTTTTGACAAGCTGAATATATATATACAACAGACATTTCAGTGATACTCAGTTTAAAGGCCCAACATCCAGAAGAACTGCAAGAATGAAAAAAGGACTGAAAAGCAAGTCTTGGGACAGAGAGACTATAACTCAATAGAGAAGAAGGGGTGACTTGAAGTTGTAACTGCCACAAGACAAAAAAAACCCAGTAGGTTTTTTTAATGCAGTAATTAGTCTTTAGATCATCTGATCAGAGCAGTGTAGGGTTTTCTCTATGCACATCTTTACAGCAAGATTCACTGCAGAGGTATTCTTTAAGAACTGTGATTACCTGAGCTTGGAGAAGCAGGTAATTTCGGAAAAATCTCTTATCTGTGTTTTGTGGGAAAGATTAGATTGCCACTGCAGTTGTTCTCTGTTTGTTTGTGTTCTCTGAGATTATAAACCTGTATGCTCTTGCTGGAGAAGTGCAAAAAAAGGCTTGATATACATAAGAAGTTTGTTCTGGGAACCTGAAACATATGTTGCATTTTTCTGCCTGGGACATGTATAGCCCAAGTGTGAAAACTCTTTTTAGGTAGGAAGTATACTGAAAAGCAAATCTTCATCACTCTTACCTCCAAATCTTCACTTTCATCAATATTTTGGATAGTTTGGTAGGCAGCAGTATATATCTCTAAAGCTTTCCCATGGAACAACATTTCAATAGTTATAAATTCAGAAAAGATGTTCTAAAAGCAAATGAAAACAAAGGTTTTCTTAATCCAATAAAGTACATTTCCACTTCAAAAAGTTACTGAGTTCTGTACTTGGTATTTCTATGATACAAATAACTGCACAATACTTAGTACTTTTAAGTAGTCAGACCTGAATTTTAGAAATTAAACATAAATGCTGGCTGGGTTATCACTTATGCAGTTGTTATTATTTCATTATAAATTCTAAGTAAATGCTTGAAAAGTGAAGAGGAGACTCATTAGGAATAACGTCATGGTGAAAAGCGATAATCCCCAGTATGTATTTACAAGATGTAGTTGGTGGATTTTTGCTTTATTGAAGACAATCTTTTATAACAGCTTGGGGGTAAGTTATCTGTAAATTCTATACATTTCTATAATTTACAAATATTTATATATTTTACATAATAAAGTATTCTTTATATATTGACCCCCCCCATAATTATGACAACTTCAGAAATCACAATCTTTTTCATATTACTCCAATATCAAGTACTGGTTGGTTTGGTTGGGTTTTTCAACCATCTTTCATTCCTTCCTGTTTAGACTGTCTGTCTGTCTCCTCCTCCCCCCCAAAAAAATGACTAAAGCAATTTTATAATTGAGATCACATAATGCAAGTGTTTTTCAGTCACTGTAGTCTTTGGGACTTGCGCCACTTAATGTTTGACATTAATAGAGAAATGAAAGCTTTCACTGCTTGCAGTCACTGAACATTTTGTGCTTTTTGCATCAGTAAAACTTTTAACTACAGTAACATACACATACTTCAGCGTGGATAAATATATTATTGACTTATCACTATTTCTGTTAATTCTGCTGATATTAATCCACATATATCATTGCACTAACAAATGCAGCTACTAGTGAAGTAGAATACAGCAACTTGTGACGGTGCAGACACTGAACAACTGGAGACAGGAAAATTTTCAATTCCAAAAACTGGAAGAGTAATGAACTGATTTTTTAATTTCAGATTTCCTCATATTTGGATTATGTACGTTCCTGTGTAACCTGCTCTAGGTGACCCTGTCTTAGCAGGGGAGTTGGACTTGATGATCTCCAGAGGTCCCTTCCAACCCTAACAATTCTGTGATTCTGAAATATTCATGAATACCACAAGATTTGCATTTAAGTGAATATTAAATGTTGCTAATCTTGCCCAAGACTTAACTATAGTAATTTTATTATGCAAGATAAAATTGATATCACATACTGAAATGTGAGCACACATACTTTGATATCCTTTATCTTCTGTTTCTCGAAATTATCAATAGTTTCCTCTAATTGCCGCGTTGTTCGAGTAGCATCCAGTGTCGCTCTCTGCAGTTCACTTTCAGCCTGGTAAAGTAACACAGAGGTGAAATTAGTCTTGCATTTGATACAAAGCTATTTGCTCCAATTGCCATGAAAACATTGAAGTCTGGGTTTTCAAAACTACATATCTGTGTTACAGTATTTGTAAATCTGTTGCTTAATAAACATATAAAGATGCCTCCTACACTGTTGTTACTTTGATGTGAAACATGAAAAATGAACAGCTGCAGCCAGTCAGGAAGGTCCCTCTGCCCTGATCCGTTTTCTGTAATAATCATCTGATAATTTCACTGAGCCAGCCCTGACACCCCATTGACAACACAGGGACTGGGTCCAGGTACTTAACCCAGCCCAAGGGTTTACCCTTCAGAAAAAGTTCTTGTTTGTTTTGGTTTTTTTTTAAGCTTGCGCAAAGGAGAAGGCAGGACTGCACGTGCCAGTGCAGTGGATGAGCAGAAAAGATCACGCTTGTTTTCAAGTGCAGATCAACCTGCTGGGTCCTTAAGGAATCTCTTCCAATGTCCTGTGCTGAACCTCATCTTACTAAGTTTTTATATATTATTTAAATAGACAATTAGAGTAGCAGCTGAAAGTAATGCATTTATCCTGTAAATATCTCAATCTGCAGGCTAGAGTTGTTATAATTTCTAGATCCAAAAGCATTTCAGGTATTTCATATTTTTAGTATTTTTGTATTATTAAGATATTTTATAGTAAACATCTTCAACAGGGCACTGAGATGGGGACACATCAACCAATCCCTAACACATAAATACACAGTTTTCCTTATTTTGTTACTACAAAAAGCATTTAGATAGCTTTTTGATTACATATAATTATGAACTTTATAAAAATGCACACTACCATTTAAATAAAGATCTTGAAACTGTTCTGGTTATGTCAAGTCTGAGAACTGTGTACTACTACAAAATAATGCTGTACAGATGTAAGAGCTTGCACTTGAAGACTACAAAATTTGGGTCTAAACTTATGTAATTTTCCATAGATTACTGGTCAAACATCATATACTAGTGATACTTATAGGCTCACTCGGTGAGTATCATCACAGATCTATTTTGTGCTGAGATTTGAAAATAGGACATGGATCAAGTATTGTCTACGATCAAGTGGTAGGATTCTTCCCATATCTAAAAAACTGTAACTTAAGAGAGGAAATTTTTTTTAAATAGGCACCACAGGTCCAGTTCCTGTGATCTAGTTTTTAGTGCCACACATATGGAAACCTAACGCATAAGGTATGCTCTGTTGACTTCTGTGATTACAATCTGGTAACCTTGTATTACAGGATTATCAAATTGAAACAATCTTTCAAAAACAGCTTAAAGTCACAGACACAATTCTGCCACCATTACTGGGCAAAAAAAATTGGTAACAATGTTTAGTAGTACATAAGGTCACCTGTTCACCTCTCTTTCTTGATTTTGCCCAAAACACAGGAGGGAAACAGAGTAAGAAAAGACATTTTGTGTATTCTCAATTAGTTCAATCAGTTACTCCCTGTAAGTGAAGGCAGCATAAGCTGCATAAGCAGCCATTACACATACAAATACATTATGTTATTTCTATGATAATCAAATACATCTCAATACATCTGAAATAGACTGGCCAGATTTTTGTGTGCAGATGCTTTGGGAAAGGAATTCTCTCTGTTGTAGAGTGAAATGTCTAAAGTCACAGAGCGTCCATAGTTCGCACAACAGCAGTTTGATATTTTCTCTTCTAAACACTCACCTGTGACTGGAAATACTAGTGAAGGAAAAAATGGCAATGTAACAACCAATATTGATTAAAGTATGCATTTTCACTTCTACTTTTAATATGCTGTGAACTATTTACCTTAGTTATTTCAAAACTTCTGTATACTTAGTGCTACTATTATGTTGTTTGAAGCTTCTGGCTCTAAGACATTACAGTTTGTTACAGCTTTGCTAGAATTCAAGTATCCAGACCAAAACATTTCAGGACAGCTGTTTGTCTTGGACTGAGGATTTGGTTATTTATTAAAAAAAAAATAAAAATTAAACAACCTAGGTAGACTATTTCAGGGGAAAAAAAATGATTAAAAATTGTATTTTTATATTTTTAAAAATTTGGTAATGTTTTCTTTTCAAAGCAGTACTACCCTCCCACCCCCACCCCCATTTTGTAAGATGGGAGTGAGTACAGATCCTTTGCTATCTGGGGCCAAACTTGTTTGCTGCTGCAACATCATAGTTGCTCGACCATAAGAGAAGCATTGCAGGAGCCCAACTACTGTGCTCCAATGTCGTGAAGTCTCTCTCAGACCTGAAAGCTGACCTGCACACATCCCCAAAAGCAAATGAACATATTCCTGCTCCTAATACCTTTTCACGCATTTTGTGTCAATCACGTTAAAATGCAAATACAGAGTGTTTGGTGCCTTTGGCCATATGAAAAAGCAGACTGTACTGAGATTCTATAACTCTTCAGGCAAAGCCTTAACTATAGAAAGCACAGGTGTTACAAGAAGCTAAGCCACAGAGATGTGTTTGTGAGAAGCTTAGCAAACAGATAAGAAGAAATTAACTAGGTGCCAGTGACATTCCCATGAAAAAACTACTGCTCAAGAGGGAGAAAAATGTGACCAGTGTCCCTCTGGGGAGAAAGCTTACTGTTACAGTTTACTCTAATTCCAACAGAAGAGAACTTTGCATCACAGCTCAAGTTCTAACTATATAGCTGACATGCATCTGTCTTTATTACAGAAGGCATTCAAATTAGTTATCACTTGACCTAACTGATCTGATTAATATTAGATGTGAATTCTTTGGCAGAGACAAAAATAAAATGTAGTTCTCCTGTGTGGCACTTGACCATCACAATCATTTTTGCTTTCTACACTCCCATGCCCCAGTCACTAAAGATCCTAGTTTCTGAAATAAAGTTGATAAAATCCAACTAAGAATAGGACTGCTTAACTCCTGAGTCCAGCACTAGAGTGTAATAAAAAGTAAACAGCACATCATCATGAACTTAAATGCTTTATGTAGGCATAAAGGGACATATGTAGGCATAAAGGGACTGAAGTAGGGTTGCCTTGATCCTCTTTGTTTTGGCATTTCCTATATTCTGATTGCTTCAGAATTTGAGACTTCAGTGAGATTTTAATGGAAGTTCTGTGGGGGCTTAATTTTTCCCTCTGATACAGAATAGTGTACTGGGGAAGGTGACTGGTCTTTGGAAAGGAAAAGTAGTCTAGTTGAGTATGCTACTAACAGAATAACAACTTTTCCTTTCACACTTCACGCAGTTGGAGGAAACTCATACCCCATCTACATCCAAGGAAGCACAACAACTACCAAAATGACAGGAAGAAAAACAATAAAACAAGAAATCCACAGAAATAAAAAAAGTTGTCTGATTACACTTATTTTCAAAAACTTCCAAATTCCTAGATGTAAACTATGCCTACCTCTCTTGCATAAACATATCAAAAAATAGTTTCTGTTCAATTAAAAAAGAAGTAACAGCAGCTATTATAAGCTGTAACTCATTATGAAGTTTAAGAAATGATTTGACATTGGAGAAAATCCTTCTAAGGAGACTTATTGCTACTACTACTTTCTTACTGCTTTCTAAACACAATAGTTTAATTCCCAAGAAATTTTAAAAATATTTCTCATAGTGACTAGAAAAATAGGATACAATAATGTGTAGATCTGATGGATTCCGCTGACGTGTCTTTTCCAGTTGAGATAATTGCTTGGCTTCTCGGTTCTTTGCTGTTAAAGTTGCTTTAAGATCATCCTGGAAATAAAAATGTTTTAGACATGTTTAAAATGAAACTAGGGTAATACGAAATACACTTCCCTTCATACATGCATTGCCTAGAAAATGGACCAAACTTCTGCTTTAAACAAAACCAGATTTTATAGATCTTATCCTGTTAATTGATCCTCTGAAAGAGAAGTCAGTGGGAACCAAAGGAGTGCTGCACAATCCCAACCTTGCACAGCTCCCTATAGCATGCACTGTAATTTAAAATGTGGGGAAGAAAAATACATTCACAGCTTTTCATGACAAGTATAGCAGATGGCCAAAAGCTGAGATCCCCAAAGCAGTAAGAAGGCAGGCCCATTCCTGACTTAGAAACAGAATAAAGGTGGCATTTAGAAATAAAAAGTGGCATCAAATATATCAGTAAGAAAAATAACAAAGCAGGAAGCAGCCAGTACCAGTCAGAAGTTATGAAGAAAACATAACTGCTGTCACCTGTCCAGAGGACAGCAGAGCTGGTGAAAGGTCTGGAGCACAAGTTTGATGAGAAGCGGCTCAGGGATCTGGGTGTGTTCAGGTTGGAAAAAAGGAGGATGGAGGGAACCTTATCACTCTCTACAACTCCTTGAAAGGAGGTTGTAGCCAGGCTGGGGGTTGGTATCTTCTCCCAGGCAACGAGTGACAGGAGGAGAGGACACCAGGAGAGGTTTAGATTAAATAATAGAAAAATTTTTTTCACTGAAGGGGTGGTCAGTCATAATAGGCTATCCAGGGAAATGGTAAAATCACCATTCCTGGAAGTGTTCACAAAAGATGTGGATACAGCACCTGGGGACATGGTTCAGTGGTGAACATGGTGGTGCTGGGCTAACAGTTGGATGATCTTAGAGGTCTTTTTCAACCTTAACAACTCCATAATTCTGTACTACACAGATTTCAAGGTGTGAAATATAAAATCTATGGCTGAAAGGGTTGAACTGCGTATTTTTATATATGCAGTTAGTAAGGTGTTTAAAACCATTTGAAACAAAACACATCCTACTAATGATGTAGCTGGAGAAGATGAAACTTACTGATTTAGAAAAGGCAGAAACTGCTGATAAATATTTTTGCTCCTCATTTCCAAAGGAGAAGATGTACTTTGAGGAAGATCTGTGACAATTTAATCACGTTTATCTACCAGTCTCAAATTTTTGTTCATGCTATAAAACTGTGTTTTGCAGAGTGTTTGGCATTCATAGGATTTAAGATTATCAGTCAGATATTTATCACTTCCCTGACCCTGGTATCAGAAATAACATACACTTTGATGGCTTCAATTTAAAGGAGCAGTAGTTCAGAACAAGCAGAAATACAGCCAGAAGTCTTAACAAAATCCGAGCCAGAAGTTGGGTATACATTTCAAACCATTCTTTTCTCTAAAAACACCAGTTCCCATTTATCTACTACTTCAGAATGGAGGGAATTAGGGCTATTAGAAACTATTGTATTGGGAAGTTGTCTGTGCTCCTTCCTTGGATTTCAGAGTTTTAATATGCTTGTATGTCTCCTTTACCCAGAAGGATATGCAACTAAGGATGTGTCTTTCAGCAGGTTTTGTAACCCTGTGACCAGATCACTTGTCAGTGACACGCACAAGCGTGCCAAGTTTTACAGTGCTGTGTTCCTTCAATAATGTGTCTGTACATGAGGTCAGGGTCAAAAAATGCAGTTTCCTCCTTGTTTCTGTCTTTACTGTCTGTCTGTATGTCCTTGTGTATGACTCATTTTGCTTCCCCTTTAGGGGGACAAAGCTGGTTTCTGATAATAACTATTGCATCTTTAGCCCATCAAAACTAATTTTACTGCTGTTCTTTCAGAAGGGAATTTACAGCACCTTTAAGGTCATCCAAAACACTGCTGGAAAGGACTTTTCCCTTTATCAAAACCATGAAGCTACAAGCAAAGCAATAACAGAATTTTTTTTATTGCTTTATTGGTTTGAGTTTTAAATTTTAAAGGTAGAGAAAGAGAAGAATTATTTATTTTTGGAACAGAACAAAACGATTTGTATCTAATGTTCACAGCTGCATGTTTAGTGTTATTTAATGACTAAGTCCTGTTAACAGCACTGACTTCTAGGCCCATCTAAAACAGTCAATTAGATTTCAAGCTGTGGCTAAAAGGGTTCTGACTTTCATGCAGAGTGTACTTGAGGATGCAAAATTCTAGAGTTGTTATAAAATTCAGTATGTTCTTTCTAGCATGTCGTGACTTTGGAAATACTTACAGTTCCCTCCTCTACCTCTGTTTTCTGTAGCATCAGCCACCATGAAACATACTTCTCTACTAACCAATGCCTGATAAAGAATTAGTGCTACTGTGGCTATAGTGGTGAAGCTATACACAAGTTTTGGATGTACAAAGGCAGGGCACAGTTACATGCATATTTTGTCTAATATGTTGAAAAACTGAAAAGGGTGCAGAAAAAAACCCTGTAAAAATATTAAAAAGCTGGGGAAAATGTGATAATGGTGAAAGAATCAAGGTGTACATTATTACCTAACAGAAAAAAAATGAATTCAAGTCACATGTAAGAACACTGGTCACCCATCTAATTTCAAGCCACAGAGAAGTACAGCTACAGTCTGTCCACCAGACAGTGAGCTGACAGAGCCTCATCACTGTACTGTTACCTGCTTCAGTCACTGAAGTTATTAAAGCAAACCAATCCTTTCTTCTGCATGTGGATCACCTTGGTTTTATGATGTCCTGTTTTATATGAAGAAAAGGAGCCAGGAACAGAGTTGCCAAAAAGCAGAAAAGTGAAGATTGATATACAGAACAATGAAACAGAAAGAAATCCTAAAATCCTACATTTAAGGTACATTACAGAACATTATATTAATGTCCATTGAAGCTATTTGGCATCATAAACCAGAACAAGTGAATGAAACAATTTTATTGCATTAGCAGTTAAAGGACAACACTACTCTCATTATCTGGGCCTCTTTAAAGCATTTAGTAGCACAGGACATTGATGTCTTATGCCACAGAAATAGCAACAGTCCTTTTTAGATAAAGCACAGAAGTACTCTTGTGTACATCCTGGAACAGTTCCAATAAGTAAGTAACAGTGAGAACATTCCCTTTATAGAAAGTGCCATAATGACATGTTCTAACAGGTTTTACTTAGCTAAGGTAGTTACAGGTAAAGCAGTCCTACACCTTGTGCTAAATTTAAGAGTCACAAAACTTTCGTTTTCACTAAAGATGTCCCAGTGTTTAGAGATGATAACTGAAGACCAGACAGTTGAAATTTTAACCACAGTTTATCATTAATGTGCAATGGGGAAAAAATAACCATTTAATGGCCTACGTCTTTAGCAAAACCTTAGTTCAAAGGTGTGTTGACAAAAATAGTTAATCCCACCTACAGTTTAAGAATACTCTTGTACTCCTCACTGTAGCTGAAATAAACATTATGCAATGCTTTCTGGCATTCTGAAAGGCAAAGACAACAGGAAATGCCATTCAGTGTTGCAAGGGATGGCCTGGCTTCAGTTGCTTCTGTCCTCAGCATTACTGGCTATCAGTGGCAATGCACCTTCAATGCTTTGCAAACCCCAGGCACTGCTGTAGTGCTCTGTGTCTCCTCAGCAACCATACTGCCACAAACACATGAAGCTTGTCTTCCACCCTCAACATTTATATCCCATGGAATACTCAGTTCTAGATCTCACCAACTGGGTTTTATAATGACTATTAGGATACCAGATTCTAGCCTCTATAGTCTACAACTCTGCTAAGGACCACCACATGTAATCCCACTCAAGTGCAGGATGCATCTCCTTCACAACTGTTTCTCCAATCTCCAAGTGAGGTAGCTGTGCGGTAAGTTCCACACACTGTACTCGGTTCTTCACCATATGAAAAAGATACAGAACAAAAACATATGAAAAATGCTAGTTTGAGATGCAGTGCCACAACATACTCAAATTAACCATGATGAACACACTGTAAGATTTTAGTACGTAAAATATAATCAAAGAATAATAATTTAATATTTTGATTTATAGAGACTATGATACAGATAGACATCAATTACAGATTTGAGTTTACAGGACTAAGGTATTCTCTGTGTAATATACAAGTATTACAAAGATCTGCTTTTGTCCTATAAACTAGTATCTGCTTACTGAAAGTTAAGCTCAAGCTTATCCCTCCTGGAGGAAAGAAACTTTCAGATATTTTAAGGGAACATTTCAAACCCCTATAAACACTGTTTCTAAAATATAGTGAATGAAGAGATCTCAGATTTTTGTGTATCTCCAGGTCATCATGATGACTTAACAGGACAGAGAGGGATTTAGGCCACTACCTATATATCAGTTTCAAATGTGTCTTCTAAATTATGAACTTTAATGTAGAATGGAATTCTGAGTTAGAAAAGCTGCTAAAGGCAGCATATTGATGACTAAGAGGCAAAAGCATTACATATAATTCACCTTTTGGAAATCTGAATAATAGTGGTAATAATCATAATCATAATAATAAAAAAACCCTAACAATAATAAATGACACTATCCAATAAGTTTCACATTATCCACAATGCCTTTTTTTTAGCATTTGCTTGTGCTCAAAGAGCCTGAATATCCTCGTCTTCACACTAAAGTTTCTTTCTCCAACATATATATAGCTTCAATTTAGATGTATCACTACATAATTAAGTTAGACTGATTATTGCAATATGAAATATCAGAACCATTCGCCCCCTAAAGCAGAAGTTTTCAACTGAGCGGCCAGAACACTGAAATGTACCTTGTGAGAAAACAGATGCTTAACCTACCCTTTTAAGTTTCACTATGGTCCCATAACATTTCAGAGGTTCAACAACCTTGGCTTCAAGCCTGTCGACCTACAAAAGAAATCACAAGGCCACTAGAATCATCCATATCTATGGTGTGCAGAAACAGGAAACAATTAATAGTGACTCATTAGGAATTAGTCCATATATGCTGAAAAAATAATGGGATAGTTTTAAAAATATTGTAAAAACTATAGTCAAGTACATTAGCCAATAAGCAATTTGTATTTTGAGGAGATCAAGCTGATTTCTAGTGGAATTACTTTTTTCTTAATTAGAAATACATCAGGATAAATGAAACACTGAGATTCTAACAACTGAGTACTAAATACATCAAACACTGCATCTTGGAGATGTGTAACTTTCTATCTAAGATCAATGTTTTGCTCTACACTTACTGACAGATCATGGGTTAAGCCATCTTTGCTAACAAATATATTGTACAAAATGTAACACTTCTTGCATTGTTGGTACTGAATGCACTAAAAATACCAATAACAGGGTGTGTAAAAGGCACGAATGTTTTCACAGGTGAGTGCATCTGAATTTTTGTTTCAGTTCTCCTACTTAGAAAAACAGCTACATATGGTCAGACAGGCAATAGGATAAGACCTGCTCATCAAACCTGACAATGCTGTCCAAGCAGCACCAGCATAAGCTGCCAATGACTTATGGACCAGTGAGTCATCTGGCCCACTGCTCGGCCAGATGGGCCAGATTAGGACAAGGCGTGTACCTCTATTAGGAATGTACAGTTCCCTCTAAACTGGGCTAAAATTTATGCCAACTGAGCAAACATTTTTCCTTTATACACTCTACCAGTACACTGTCAAACAATTTCACTTGAACTGCCAATAAAATACAAAGGATTAGGGCAGTAAGGCTCTGAATGAAGTGCACGTTACTTTGGTCTCTCTTTTGAATTATAGTGGGTCTTAGCTGTTCAAAACTATAAATGGTAATTTTCTACACTCTACTGAAAGTATAGATACATACTCCAAAAACTAGTTTGAGTCCATGTGAATGAATTTATTTTGTCTTAAATCGCAGTATTTGGAATTCTGCATCACACGTTACAGTTTGACTGGCCCTGCAGATAGATGTGGAAGTGGCATAAACACCTTCCTTTACACTCTCACTCATCTAGCAGACATGTGACTATATAGTCACACATTGTCCAAATCAAGTTTGTACTTTGAGTGTTAAACTACAAACTTAAGAAATCTGCAGTGGTCCCTGACAGCATCTCAGTGGGGCTACCAGTGCCCATTCTCTTCCATACTATTTCTGATAAGACTCAACAAAAGGAAAATGACTGATTTTACCTCAGCTGCTGCCAGACAAGTCAAGTCACACAAATAAAAAACCCACTTTATTAACCATAAATCACAATCCAAAGTCTAAAAAACTTGCTCTGTCTCAAATACTTTGAGTGCTCGTAGGGATAGTTTTGCTGACTTCAACAGGACTAATTGCAGGCAGTTTTCATTAGTTGTTAGTGGGGTAAATGATGAATACTTTGGCAGCCTACCCTGCTCAGACACTAATATATTTAGAAATGTTTTCTCCTATGTTTTCTTGTGATTGCAGAGTATATATTTCTCCTTTTAATCAAAGAGAAGTAACTGAAAAGTTCAGATGGCAAACACAACATGTACAGCTTTAATTTTGTACCTCTGCCTGGCGATAATCCTGAAGTCTGGAAAATTCATCTGCAAAGTTTTTCAGTCCAACTTTTAAGTTTGGTGTCTCTGTGGCTGCATATGCATATATTTCATGTACTAGAAGATCTGCTTTGTCTCGTAGTCTGGCAGTTTTACGTACATATCCAGCAAATATTTGGCACAATTCACCAAAATGTTTTTCCACATTTGAAACAGCATCTTGTATTTGTCGAGTCTGATTGTCCCTGGATACCGAAGAAAAATAAGTAAAAAATAAGAAGGGCACAAATCAGTGCAAAACAGAAATTTATTTTTAAAAAGAGAATGTTGTAACAGTCTGACGTACTGTATGCTTATTTCTGAACAAATAACAAATGAACTACAAAAAAAAAGCAGGATTTACACTTAAAGATCCAAGAGAGGAAACCCCAAATCACAAAAATCTGCTTGGAAGTTTTCTTACTGTATTTAAGCAAAAGCTCACTATTACTATTGGTATTATTACTAACACAGTGGTAACACCTGAAGTCTAAACCAAGACCTTCCCAAGACCACTGCTTCCTGCATGAGTCTGCAAGCTAAACTGGCAAGTCAATGGCTGGAGAAATTAGGCAGCAGAGGACAAATCTGGAGAAATTAGGCAGCAGAGGTATTAAATGGTTTTTAAATCATGAACAGGTACCAATCTGCTCCTGGTCAGCAGCACGAAGGATAAATATTGCTGAGACTTAAAGAAGAAAAGTGAATGGACACAAGTACAGAGGTGAACACTCTGTACCACTGAAAGAACATTCATTACACTAATAAACTGTTTTCTTTTAAATTACATAAATCTGATTAATTTATTTGATCCAAATGCCTGTGTGTTTCATTATTAATGATCTAGATAAGTAATTCCAATAATTCATGTATTTCACTTTGTATTTTGCTTTCATATTCCTATATCATTTGATGGTTGTGTGAATTCATGCCAGTTTTTGTTGACAGACTGAATCAGCTACAAGACAATTTAGCTAACAGTATCTTCCACATACTGGGTCCTAAGAAGTCTCCACAGTCTAAGACAAGACTGTTCATGTGAAGTGCTTGAATTCTCAGCAAGAAAATTCACTCATACCACTGTCTTGGCAAGGGGCAGAAACAAAAACTTCCTTCGTATCCTTAAGCTACTCCAATATTGCTGACCAATATTTAAATACTGACTTCCTATCGGGACACGTGAAGATCAGAAAAACTGGAAGAAATGCAGTATTTCGAGAATGAACAATAATACAGTCAATTCAAGCAAGGAACACTTTTACTTCAGGAAAAGTATTTCAGGCCAAAGTTACACTATGGGCAAAATCCCAGTTGCATTGCTTCATGGCAAGCAGTCTAGAGGACTGTTAAAAAGAGATTTCATTAAAGGAAAAAAAAAAATCCTAGTAAGTTATTCAGTCCTCCAGAACATGCTGGAGCACAGAACCATTTGAATAGTGAAGGTTTCACCCAGTGAGTGGGAAAGTAAGAATTTCATGAAGTACAAACGAAGTTGGTTTTCAAAATTAATACTACGTGATAAGATCTTCAGTTAAAGGTACATTCTATTTCCTTGGAAGGTCTTCATGTCAGAAAGTTCCCCTCCCAAGGGGAAGCCTTAAGCACGTTTCCTCACCCTCTTTACAATTCAGATCTCACAAGACTCCCGTGCAACTAGTATTTAATTTGGAGACATGAAACACTGCATTTATTTATATGGGGGTGTAAAAATTTTTATTCCCCCGTCATTATTCATGATCGCTTAGAGCTGGCCACAAAATTATCTGCGAGAGGCCCAAATAAATATCGGCACATCTTTACTTCATCTCTGCAAAGCACATTAAGCCTAGAAAAGTTTTGCGGCCTTTCCCGGAGAAAGGCAGAGGCGGCCCCACCGCACGGGGTGGGCAGATGCGCTGAGGGGGACTGGGCCCGCATCGGCCTCCGACGCCGCGCATCCCCCGCTGCCCTGCCCGCGGCAGGCCTCCGTCCCCCGCAACACCCTCCCTCGGGCTCCCGCCCGTAATGCGTCCAGCCCGCGGCCCCAGCAGCATCATAAGGGCGGTGGCGGTGGAAGCGGCGGCGGGCCGGGGGAAGCAGGGAAGGAGGAAGGAGGCGGCGCTCGGCGTGCGCTCTGTTTCCATGGACACCGCCCGCCGCCTGCGGACGGGCTGCGGCAGCTCCGCCCCCGGGAGGTGCCGTGAGGGAAGTCACGGGATCGGAGAATCCGTTAGGTTGGAAGGGTCGTCTGAGATCGTGGAGTCCAGCCTGTGGCCGAGCGCTACCATGTCAGCTAGACCATGGCCCTAAGTGCCACGTCCATCTTTCCTTAAACACCCCCAGAGACGGCGACTCCACCACTTCCCTGGGCAGCCCATTCCAATGCCTAATCACCTTTTCTGTAAGAAGTTCGTCCTAATGTCCAACCTAAACATCCTCTGGCACAGCTTAAGACCGTTTCCTCTCGTCCTGTCACTCGTTGCCTGGGAGAAGAGACCGACCTCCACCCCGCTACACCCTCCCTTCAGGTAACTGTACAGAGCACCAAGGCTGACAGAGTTCAAGAAGCTTTTGGATGATACTCTCAGGCACATGGTGTGACTCTTGGGAATGATCCTGTGCAGAGCTAAGGTTTGGACTCGATAATCCATGTGGGTCCCAGCTGAGGATGTTCTGTGATTCTGTGATCCCTGGGGGAAACAACCAGTGACCGGAGTTGTCCAGGTGCTCCAGGTGACCCTCGGGGTGTGCAGAGCCCCACACCTGAGCCTGGCCCAAGGGCAGGACTGAGTCTGTGCCAGGACAAGTGCAGTACCAAGGCCTGGACTGGTGCAGGAGCAGAAAGCCAGAAGGCTCAAGCCTGTCTCACAAAAAAAAAAAAAAAAAAAAAGAAGTCTAGCCTTGGCAAGTGACAAGCAGTACCAGGGGATGTGGCCCACAGGTCTTCCACCTGAGGAAGATCCACTGAGGTTGGGCAGCCATGGGAAAGGTCTTTAAAAAAAAAAAAAAAAAGAAAAGAAAAAACAAAATTCAAAACCTTAAAAAAAAACCCCAACCCCCCTCTCTGTAGAGGTAATGTATTGGGAATGTGACTTTGTGACTGTGTGGGCATGAGCCTGTGTCAGAGTCCCTGCAGGTGCTGTGTGAGCCTAACGCAGAAAAGGCTTTTAAAGGGAGAAGGAGGGAATTGTACTGTGTTCAACACAAACCCACCCGAAATTACAGCAGTCCACGAGAGCTAAGGACTTGGACAACTGTTAGCATGCTGTCACGGGGGTACAAGACAACTTCACTCAGGTAACAAAGTCAAACTTTAATTTGCAACTAAGTACAATGGCCAAAACTAGTGAACAAGGTGGGTAATGATGGTACTCCAATGGCATCTGTCAGGTTACAGGTTTGGTGTACCTGTCAGGATTATTTTACTACACAAAGTGTGCACACACACACACACAGTGCACATGAAGCTTCTCACTCAAATGGTACCCAAAAGATCCAAGGATTGAAGGATCACTCAGGTATATCTAGTGGGAAAATAATTACCAAGAAGAGAGAGGTAAAGCAGTCAGCCCTTTTAAGTCTTTTTGGGCTGGCTTCCCAGCCCTTAGAGGAGGGCTTCTCCTCACAGACCCACTGTTCCAAGGAAAATCACACCCAGGTGGTGTCTGGCAGGGCCTCCATGGATAACCTGGTCAGGTCAGAGCCCCTAGTCATACCTGGTCATGGGCCAGAAATATTTCTGGGCCAAGGCCCCCACTGGCTGAGGACCCTGTTGACCAAGACATTCTGTTCTCATTCCCACCATGGAGGAGTCTGTGGAAATAAGGGCACAAAAGGTTGGTCATCTCCACGTGTCAGCTGGGGGGGAAGGTGGATGCTACTACCACACATGCATGAGAAAATCTGATAGGCTTGCCTGAGCATATGAATAGAAACTGATTCAGTTAAGATTTGGTTTTAAACTTTTTATCATATTTTTCTACTGAAATTAGATTATTTAGATCACTTAAACCAAAGCTTTAACTCACATAAAGCAAAATACTCTTCAAATAATAATGACCTATTTAATGGTTTGCACCAACTTAAGCTAAAACAAAATGTTGCCATTTTACCTTAGGCAAGTTTGTGAAATCAATGGTAAAACTCACCCCAGCCCTTATGGACTTGGCAGACTAATACATCTAACTCCAAAATGTCTTACAGAGGATGCAAGGGTGAGACATCAAGCTAACTGAAGGTCTTAATTTCTCTCAATTGCAGGCTTGAAATGAGAGGCTAAAATGTTTATTGTTAACCATTTTTTAATAATTTAATAAATCAGTTAAATGACATAGCAAATAATGATGTCACTATTATTAATGTGCAATCCTGTAATTCCCCACACTGTAGCAAGATCTGAGTTTATTACTCTTAGGTCTTACTCATTACACACAACTACCACTGAATTACAACTCTATCACTCATCTCTCTACCACATCTCACTGCTTGTTATCAGGGTGCAGTTTGTATTGAGATAAGTTTGTACTGAGGTGAGATTTTTTTCACTTCAGAAATATCTCCCAAATTCCCCTTCAGTTATGTAGTTCCTACTATCTGCACATTGTTTACCCTTCACACTTTGAGACATACCATTCAATTTTAGTCTTTTCTTTACTTTGTTCCAATTAAGTCTAAGCACTTTATCCTATATGCAAACAGTTGACATACCAGAGCTAGGCTTATCCTGTTAAATATAGTTGTTGGGTTTTTTTTCCCCCACTGTTTTTGTACTCACATAGCATCCTGCTCTTAAGTGTTTAATTACAAATCATTGCCCTTGACATGTTCTTTGGACAATCTCTTGGTCTCCTGAGGTGGTCTTGTCTCTTCACAGGGACCTGTACTCCAGCAGGACCTCTCACTCACAAGTTTTAAGAGCTCTGAAAGTTGAAAATATCTATTCTGCTACTTAGAGCATGTTTAGACTTGGTCACCCAGCAAAGCAAGTTCCAGAATAGCTAGAAATTCTTAATAAACAGTAGAATGGTGTTGTATGAGGTGCTATACAAACTTGTAAGAAGCACAGGGTTATTGGCTTCAAATTATGGGCCAATGAGAAACAGACTGACACTTAATGAGAAGCTGAAAGACTGAAAATAAGGAAAAGTTACTTGTGATTAAAATCAAATAAGTAATTGTTATTGGTACAAGACACAAAAGAGGAATCACAGCTCATATTCAGTTACTGAA